ATCAACCTGAGTACCTCGCAGCGCCTGAATTTGTCAACACTATCGTTGGTAAGTTAACACCGTTGTTGCGTTCGAGATGGGTCGACTTTGCCGCGAATAAATGCACTTCAGGCCAATTCAAATTAGAAATTTTAGCAGACTTTTTGGAAAATGAAGCATATTTACATGTTAAATTTGGATTTATTTCTACAGAGTCGACTCAAATTGTCAATCGGTCTGTCATCAAACCATCCGTCAAAGACAAAGTCTATGCAATCCCATCCGTCGAAACGTCAAGTAAACCTAAGATCACCTGTACTCTATGTCAATATTGTCAAGAAAAACATGACATTATAGATTGCAAAGAGTTTGTTTCACTTGACATTGACAATCGTTGGCAGTGGACCATAAACAATAAGGTATGTCGTAGATGTCTGAAAAAAGGATCTCACCAGTATCGATCGTGTAAAAAGAGGTGCGAGGTACAAGATTGCAAGTATAATCACAAACATCATACATTACTGCATCGAGATGCAATCTCGTCGACAGCTGCTCATACTAATATACAGCTAACCCCTTCAACGTCTACTGATATCAAGGTACAGACAATTGACAATATTCCTCGCGATACTCTTGATCAAACTTGCGATTCTATTGTTTCTAAAGACGAGAATATAATTGCCACTGTAGGTCATAGCCTTTGCCCTTCTAGTTTATCAACTTGTAAGCCTCTGCTTAAAGTGATAGCGGTTACTATCACAGGACCGAAGGGTAGTATAGACGCATACGCTCTTCTCGATGATGGCAGTTCTGTGACTCTTTTAGATCAGTCAATCGCGGACTCTGTGGGCGCTAAGGGCCCTACTAGCAAGCTAAGCATAGATTGTATTGGAGGGTTGAACAAACAAACCGATGTTAGTTACGTCTCAATAAAGGTTAAAGGTCGTCATAGCTTAGAAACTCATGAAATTAGGGCGAGGTCTATTTTTAATTTAGGCATAAGCAGACAGTCGGCTAATATTGATAATATCGTGCAATATGAATATTTGTCAGATTTGGCAAACGTATTATGCTATACGGAAGCCAAACCATTGCTTTTAATAGGAGCTGATAATTGGCATCTTCTTCTTACGAAAGCCGTACGTCAAGGAACTCGTGGCCAACCAGTGGCTGCACTTACAGCCTTGGGTTGGGTACTTTTCGGATACGTGCCATGTTCTAATATGTTGAACCATTCGTTCGTTCATCACATAGATGACTCTCAAAATAATGATGATTGTTCTTTAGATGCGCTTTTAAAACAATATTTTAGGCTTGATTCTATTGGAATAGAAAGCGTGTATCACCGCAGTGCTAGCGAAGACCGCGCGTTTAAGATTTTAGAAAATACTACGACACGCCTAGACTCTGGTAGATATCAGACGGGCCTTTTATGGCGAGATAATATTCCTTTCGTTCCCAAGAGTCGCGATCTAGCATTATCACGTTTTTTTAACCTTGAAAATAAAATGACAAAAGATAAGTCTTATGCCGAAGCATATAAACTAAATATTCAGGGTATGCTTGACAAGGGTTACGCAGAGCCATGTTCAGATCAAACTTGTGGTAGAATTTTGTGGTACCTTCCACATTTTGGTGTCGTACACCCACAAAAGAAGAAGTTGCGCGTCGTACACGATGCAGCAGCGAAGTGTGCCGGGCTGAGCCTGAACTCTTTTCTGCTGCCCGGTCCCGATCTTCTTCAACCGCTGTTGTCTATTGTTATGCGTTTTAGAGAGCATCCGGTGGCTCTTACGGGTGATATCAGGGAAATGTTCCCGCAGATAAAAATTAGACCTGAAGATAGAGACGCGCAACGGTTCTTGTGGAGGGACGATCCAAAGTTTCCAGTTCAAGAATACCGTATGTCTTCGATGATGTTCGGTACCGCGTCGAGCCCATGCACTGCTTTGTGGGTTAAAAATAATAATGCAATGCAATTTCAGTCGAAATACCCCGACGCGGTAAAGTCTATCATTGAAGACCATTACATGGACGATTTTCTGGGCAGTTATAAGACCGTTGACGAAGCTGCTCGCAGAGCATTCGAAATTGTAACCATACACAAGGCAGCTTGCTTTGAAATGAGATCTTGGGTGTCAAATCGCAAAGAAGCCCTTGCTCTCATTCCTTCTGAATTGCATGCAGTCAACGTTACAGAAGTAGGTCTAGGTTCCGCGACACAGTCACAGGTTAGGGTTTTAGGTCTCACGTGGAACGTTAGCCAGGACACGCTATATTTTATGAAGTCGTCGCCCGAATTACCGAAGATCTTTTCTAAACGTACTGTACTCTCATTATTGATGTCCTTTTATGACCCTCTAGGTCTCATTACCCCAGTAATAATGAAAGGTCGCGTGTTATTCCAAAAAACGTGGAAATTAGGTTCCGATTGGGATCAAATATTACCAAACGCCTTGGTTGACAGTTGGAAGGAATGGTATTGTGAAATTCAAAATTTGGCTAATAAGGCGATTCCAAGGTGCTATTTAGGTTTTTCCGAATTATCTGTCAAAGATGTTCAATTGCATATTTTTGCCGACGCTAGTGAGCGCGCTTATGCGTGCGTAGCTTACTGGCGCTTAACTTTTGAAGATGACAGTGTAAGTTTAGCTTTAATCGGTGGCAAGGGTCGACTAGCTCCATTAAAGCCAGTGTCTATCCCCCGATTAGAGTTACAAGCAGCACTAATTGCTGCCCGTTTTGGTAAATATATACTTGACGCACATAGGAGAAAGCCTAGCGTTACATACTACTGGACGGATTCCACCACCGTCTTAAAATGGCTGCGCAGCGACGCCTGTATATTTAAAGCCTTCGTTTCTTTTCGCGTTGGAGAAATTGTCGAGACCACAAACATCAGTCACTGGAAGTATACTCCGACGGCTCTAAATGTGGCAGACGACGCTACGCGGTATAATCGGGCGTTTACTTTCTCGTCACGGTGGTTTACCGGGCCATCATTTCTATTGTCTTCTCAGGAAAACTGGCCATGTGAACCTATGTGCAGTGTCCCACCGATACTTGAAGAATTGAAACGTACTTCAGAATCGGTGGGACTCCTAATTTCAGGAGTACCGCGTGAGCTACCTTCATCGGTGGTTGCGGGCCACCAACGGTTCAGTCGGTGGATTCGTTTACTCCGAGCTTCAGCGCGGGTATTTCAATGTTGTAGAGTTTTTAAATCTTTTATTAATTCTACTCTTAAATTTTCTACAAATGCCCCTCGCGATCGGTTTAATTTTCCGTTGCTTTCGATTGCAGACCTCAACGTTGCAGAGGTCCATTTATTCCGCGTCGTTCAGGCAGATTCTTTTTCTGATGAATTAATGCTCGTTCAAGCAGCACGCCCTGTTTCAAACGAAAGTAGGCTAAAGAATATCGCGCTACTTATTGGAGAAGATCGACTCCTTCGGCTATCTGGGCGCACGGCTGTTTCTACGGAAATAGAATGTAGTCCAGTTGTGCTCGACGGCAAACATCCAATAGTGAGACTGTTGATTGGCTTTTATCATGAGAGATATGCACACGGCAACAACGAACTGGTGGTTAATGAGCTGCGTCAAAAGTACTTTATCCTCCATTTGAGACCATCAGTTCGTGCAGTATCACAAAAATGCCTAGTTTGTCGGATTCGAAAGGCGAAACCTATAACTCCTCCCTTAGGTGATCTTCCAGACGTGAGATTGGCACATAACCAGCGACCGTTCACATTTGTGGGCCTGGACTACTTCGGACCTTTGAACGTTTCTATAGGTCGAAGAACGGCGAAGAGGTGGATCGCTCTTTTTACTTGTTTGACCGTTCGCGCTGTACATCTTGAGGTCGTGGAGAACCTTTCGGCAGACTCTGCAATCATGACTCTCCGGCGCTTCATAGCGAGAAGAGGTTGTCCAGCTCGCATATATTCGGACAACGGGACTTCGTTCGTCGGTGCAGCGAGATTGTTACCTGACCTCTACGACTTCTGCAGCAACCATAAAATAGATTGGCGGTTTATTCCCCCATCAGCGCCGTTTATGGGTGGATGCTGGGAACGCTTAATACGATCTGTGAAAAACTCCATTATGGTCACCTTAAAAGAACGTTCGCCTCGGGAGGAGGTTCTACACACATTGATCCTAGAAGCGGAGTGTATTGTTAACTCAAGACCCCTTACACATGTGCCTGTTGATCAGGATTCGGACGTCGCTATAACACCTTTTACATTTTTGATCGGAAGTTCCAGTAGCGACTTACCTCTAAGACAATTTGAAGATTGTGATCTTTATAGGCGAGTGAACTGGAGGAAGGCTCAGCGTTTCGCCGATCAAATGTGGCAGCGCTTCATAAAAGAATATTTGCCTACCCTGGTACCACGAAGGTCTACATCCCAATCAGCAGTCAACCTCCAAGTCGGCGACCTCGTATTTATAGCAGACGGCACACTACCAAGATGCAGCTGGCCTAGAGGGAAAATAACAGCCACGTATCCCGGCAAAGATGGAGTAGTTCGCGTGGCCGATGTTGCCACAAAAGGGGGTGTGCTGCGCCGCCCAACGCGGAAGTTAGCGTTGCTGGTCACCGGCCACATTAAATAGGTGCTTCTCACCGTCGGGGGCCATGTTGGTGACCCGCTACGCAAACCTTTTTGGCATGTTTATTTTCTAAATTCTCAGTTTTTAAATAAATGTCATTCATACTATTAGACTTACGAAACAAATGTAAAACTTCAGTGTGAGAATAACAATATACGGCTGTGACGGTGTTTTCGTGGTTTCCTTTAAAATTACCTGGTAGCCAGATCTCTATCTTTTTCAATATTAATGAATAAAGTCATATAAAAATAGTAAAATAAAATCATAGTTAAATAATTAAAATCATAGAAAATATAACGTTTGCTTTTTTAAGGATATCTGGAGTGACGGTGATCATATATGGGCTGATATGGCTGTCAAAGGTACTGTCGGATTTGCCGGACCCACCAGACCCAGAGGCACCTACTACTTACCCGCCGGATAGGCATTTGCCACCATCTGCTCATCCTTATCTTCGTCATGGAAGAGTATAGATACCAATATTATATTGTAATCCTAAAAAGCAAAAAGAGTTTTTTTGTCTAGGTTTGAAGTGTAATAAAATGTAACTTCAAAAAAATATGCTCCAAAATTTGATTAGTTAAGTTACGTGAACATACGCCCAGACAGAGTCTAAAATCAAATGTCTAAGATATTGCATTGCACGGCTAGTCCTGTCATTGTGCTATTAAGCTACATGCCTTAACGTCAGTTTGAAAAGGTAATTTTAACCACAGTAGATAAATGTATAGAGATAATATAAGAGATAATAATATAAGAGATAATACAGGAGATAATAAACAACGGTGAAATTAGACAGATTTTGTGTCTCGTTACAAATGATTCTAATAATAATTCAATTATTGCATGTCACATAGATGGCTGTTGTTTTTAGCTACAGTTTGTAAAACACTATGTAAAGGTGTAACAAATCATTAAATCAAATTTTCATAGTTACGATTTAATGTTATTTTTGCATTATAATCATTATCAAAAGTTCAAAAGGAAACTTCTTGTAATATTTATTTTATTGGTACATAACAATAAAAATTAAAGCGTAAGATATTGACACATGAAACAGCGACAGTCCATAAGTGCTTTCCCAAGGCGGTAGCATAGAGTCTGTTGGGATTCACTGCTGGATTCCATTCTATTTTCCATCAATTCGTAGTTACACTGGAATAATGTTATAATATTGCAGTGAGTCTCTTTAAAATCAACTGGCGTACAAATTAAAAATTATATGTTGAATATCTAATTAACGTGAAATGTGGGCTAATAAATGACTAACACCCAGTTGCAGAAAGGTTTAATGACGATTTTAAGCTCTAATGGATATTCTAAATGTAAAAACATTGGCTTTGGTAATATCGCTTAAAAATAAAGACAATTATAATGGACATTTGTTTAACTGGGCATAAAAGAGGTCGTTCAGATGGAAGACAACAGTATGCTATAATTGTTACTAAGCATAAATAAATGTGTTTTACGATAATCGGCAACAAAAAAAAAAATATTATGCATAATAATAATGTCGAAATAAAGTCACTGAAAATAAAAACAAGAAGCAGTTAGAAAATTAATTCAAATAAAAGTATACGTACCGATCGGGCCATCTTTTGACAGTGTTCACGACGGGCAGATGGCGCCAACAATTTCGATAACAGGACCCAAGCTCGTCCCGCTTGCCGGTCCCACTTTAGCGCTTGGACGGCACACGCGGCGGCACATGTTCGTGCTCCGGTCTGTTCTTCAGCGCCATCACTGTCACCACCTTCATTGCCTATGGTGTGCTGTATAACATACGAAAACATGATCAAAACAAAATGTAGATATAGAGAGGTAGAGGTGCATATTGTGGTTGATTACTTGTATAGGTAAAATGATATAGAAACTTATTTATTTTCCTCTATTATGGTGATCGCATACGTATCTATCAGAGTCGAATGAGGTGGAAGGAACGAATTCTCTTTGCACCTTGCAATGACGAGTGTATTAGAATACTGACAAGCCAGCTCGTACTCATGTGATGTGGTTCATATGTATGTATTCGAAATTTCCTTCTTTGTCCCCCTTCAGCGCATTCCGTTGTGAGAAATGATAAATGAACATTATAAATGTGTTTGTTCGGTTACGGGTTTACCTGTAACCAGTCTTCAGCTAAAGCAACCCAGGCATAAGCGCTGGGCTGTCTCCGGATGAGATCCAGTAGTATAGAGCGAGCTCGCTGCTTCTCCCAACTCGGCATTGACAGCAGAATACTAAAGGTCGACAAAGGTAACGGTTACCTTACTTGACCATTTACATTTGTATTTATTGTCGAATAAAAGTAATTACTTATGCCAATATTTTAACAAATAAACAAGAATTTGAATGAAGTAAATAGTACGAATACGATTTTTATTAGCTATTAACAGTTCTTATTTCATTTAAATTTTTGTCTGGTTAAAAATTGTGATTAAATTATGCCATTTTCTCAAGTTATTACTCCTCTCGACTATACTGATACGAGTGTAAGTATTAGTACTTAGATTCTTTTTGAAAGTCATGTTTTAACAGAGGAACAAAATAATAATACCTTTTATATCTTAAAAAATCGATATTTATAAAAAAAAGTAGATCCAATTCTTATTTCTATGGGATTTCGGAGGTATCTTCTATCAAATAAAAAGGGCGTTAATCACGTACGTTACAAACCACGTACTTATTACTAGAAATAAACATATACAAAACCTCCTTCTCTTAAATTTGAAGTTGATTAAAATAAAATAACGTATAAATAGAAAAAAATAGAGATACCTATACAAAACAAATTCGAATATACAACCTGTAAGCGTTTAAGCAACTGCCTGATTTTTCATATGACGCTATTGCGGCGGCAAAGTTTCTCTTTTTATGAAAACATTCGGCTTGAAGGCCCCGCAAGTAATTTATCTGCGAATTAAATGTTATTTTGAGGTTCCATAAATAAAAGAGTCATGCATATGCATAGATTAGTAATTTTTGAAAACACGGAAGCACCAAAGCCATCCGTCATACAATACCTTTATATAATTTTTATTTGTCCGTCCGTTAGGTACATTTTTAGAGAATATTAAACACCTATTCTGTTTTTTCGTAATCAATACATTATGCTGATACATTGAGTTGAAATGTCGCATGACGTCGTTCTTGTTAATAGATATTTTATTTGACTGACAGACTAAATGACGGAAAAATAGTTTTTTTTTTACCCAGATATCATTCCTATTTACCAATTACTCACATTTCTTTAATTTATATTGTCATTACTTTTGTCCAGAGATTCAAACACAATATATTTTATATCAACAAACAGCTGTTGATATTAGGTACTTAAAAATGCAATTCATTAGTTAGATACAGTTTCCTAGGCTAAATTATACCTAGGATGGCGAAGACAAACTATAATATATTAGGTACAAAAATATCAGGTACCTATATAAAGATAATCGAAAATCAGACATATAAGTATAGTAAACAATTTTTTCTTTTGGCTTCACTACATAATATAAGACAGTCTCTATCTCTGTCCCTATCTCCCTTTTTTTCATAGATAGGGTGATTCAAAAGGAAGGTTTTTATGTATAATACAAGACCATGCGGGCGAAGCCGCTGGCGGAAAGCTAGTAGTAATATAAGAACAGCATTATTATACTATATCATCACGTCGGGGGTATGCTGTAAACAAAGAACAGATTTTCAAAGAGAAAAAAACCTAATGCAATTCAAATCCACATGGTTCTACAATTAATTTGTATTGGTCGTTATTTTTTTCGAGTTACTTACATCTCCGAACTTGTCAATGGCTATCTGTAGATGACACAACGCGTCGTCGACATCACCTCGCAACCGGCAGCACAGAGCCACCAGATGGTAGAACGCAGCCGTCTCACCCGATTCAGCAACACCACGGGACAGACATATTTCTGCCAGCTTATTTGAATTAATGAAACAATTATACTATGACCCGTTAAGTGTTTTAATTAATTTGTGCTATAATAAATTAATAATCTATTAGATAAAATTACACACAATATTAATTAGTAATAATTAATAATTAGTTGACCCAACAGGCGTTTTCCTGTCTTACTTATGAATATTTAATTCGAACAGTTTTTTTGACATCCTATTTGACAATATTTGCAGCACGCATTCTGTCAATTTTATGTCAACTATTATAAGGTTACATTAAAAACGTTTATATTATCCAAAGCACTAAGGTACGATTAGAAATAATTTTATATGGTGGTAAAATATTTTTAAATTATCAATTTTCCACACAATTTTCTTATTTTTTTCTTTCATAAGAACCTTCTCTTGACCATAATAAACGCAAAAAAGAAATAGCGAAATCAGATCAGCCGTTCACGTTGGATGGCGTGACTAAGAGAAATAGGGATTCATTTTTATATATATGTTACGCTCAAAGATCGAAAATAGCTCATTGAAAAAATAGTTCACAACGCGGGGTCACAGTAAAATATCCACATAGCGTGACGTGGCTGTCTTGCTATTCGACCACAACCCGTTGTGACATTGAAGAAATACTATGAAACTTATTGAACCATATTTGATTAGATTAAGTTAAAGTATGACAAACAACGCACGAGCTGAGCGAACAAAGCGAGCGTGCTGCGACAGCGCCCAGCGTAGTGCTACAAGCCAGAATCGCTTTTGTAAAATAAAACAGCCAGTTACACCAATTAATGCTCAGAACACGTCGTGGCTTTTCATCGTTGCCACAACCCGTTGAGGTCGAATAGCATGTCAGCTACGACACGAAGTCCGCTATGTTGTTATTCTGCGATTGCCACAACGCTTTATGAACTATTTTTTCGCTCAATGAATGATTTCGATGTTTGAGCGTAACATTACCGTAAAAGCTCGTAACCTCAGCAGGAGATCCGTAGCGATATAGTATGGGTTCATTCCAGGTAGCAATGGCGTGGCATCCCACCAGTCTCCGAGCTCTTGGGCCCATCCTGTCATTTCCAACGGTTCATTTAAGCCTTCCTTCATTGTTCTGGAAAAATGGTAATCATATTAGAGAAAAAATACATAACTCGTACAAATTTGCATGACACCTGGAGGGCATATTAGTTTTCAAACGAAAATTTCGAATTATTCTTATAATTTTCTAGCTGTAACCCGCGGCATCGCACACGTGGTCCGAGGGTATTGTGTGCACACTGCCCTGCTGTACTGAAGTCTTAAGCTAATCTTAATTAAAAATCTGCCAGTAAGCATCCATCATCATTAGATTATCAGCGTCCTTATTGGTGAGGCATAGGCCTGTCCAATATATGGAACCAAATAATGAATGAATGAATGAATGAATATTTATTGAACACAAACACCATTTGACAAATTAAAAAAAGACATAATAATAACTAAGACATAATACTAATTAAAAAATATATAATAATAATAATATAAAAATCTTCAAATTTGCCTAAATTCACAATATTATATCATAGTCAGTGCAGTGCTCAAAAGGTCCCGGCTCGACATAGTGCTGCAGCAGACTACAGCGTCGATTTTCAGCCAGCACCCGAGGTGTGCCAATGCTCGCTAGCTCTGCTATAATACTCCGCGAACGGACTCGCAACCATGTGGTCGCGTAGCGCTCGCAACTATCGCATACGCATTTGTGTTTTTTATAAATAATATTATGTTATGGTACTTAATTTATTCAAACAATAGGATACCATGGATTCAATAAATTTACGGGTCCCAAATTCCAGGTAAGTTCCTTATCACCTCTCCTTAGCGTATGCATCATGAAACACACAATCACCTGAGTGCACCTTGGTGTCTGATAGACGCAGAAATCAGTTAATTCAGCGCTGACACTGTTGATTATATAAAAATAATGCTTTAGTCCTAAAGATGTGCAGAGAATCCAGACCACGTAAAGGCGGCGGCAGATTGTTCCAGCATTTAGTTGCGCTGTATCTGAAGCTACCCCTAAATGATGCAGTTTTGTGAGACGGAATCTTCAGCACATGAGACACCGAGCGTATTCCATACCTATCTTGTGCAGTTCTCCAACGCAATTTAGAGTATAAATAAGCAGGCATCATCCTATTTATAACACCAAATAGTAAGGCGGCCAGGTGTAATTCACGCCGGTGGTGCATCTTTAATATATTTTCCTTAATTAGGTACGGTGTCACATGATTACGAGGCGGAATATTAAAACAAAAACGTGCACAAGCATTTTGCAAGCATAAGAAAATCTGCCGGTGTTTCTGTGGATAAAGCGCATGTATACAATATGCCAGTTGCTCTTCTTTTCATTTTGGTACGCAATAAAATTGAAACGAATTACAGAATACAAAAAAATGTTTTCTTTGAATTTTTTTTTTCTTTTGTTGAAGTCGTTTAATAATGACGCCGTCATTTTGCTTGGATCTATAATAGATATTTGACTAATGTACTTATTCTGGACTTTTAGATAAAGGATTTCCTTTTCAGGGTTTAAAACAGCCTTGCTTGTGCAAGATTTTACGACTGGTCCTCATAGCAACTTGACGGTCAGCTAGTTCTTGCTTTCTCAATTCAGCATTTTCAGAGATTTCATAATTTTTACATTTTTTTTTTATTTCTTCCACAAAATGCACAAAATTAATATAAGTTCTGTATTTAACTCTGATACTTTGAATTGTAGTTGCTATTTTAGATAAAACTGTTTTCTACCATTAGTAGTAGCTTATTTCAATATTTCATAATTATTAGACATTCATAAATTATCAGCAGCTTAGTACATTTTTTCCAAATACCATCTAACTCCTCTGGGTTAAGTATTAAAGTATCTCGTTCATAATCACCCATATTAAAAAACCGCAAAAATACACTTTTGTTGTTTTCAAAGGAGTTGTTTCTAAATTTTCGAGTTAAATATATGTATTTGGCCGACTATAATTCGTAAACTTGTAAAACTTACTTAAAGGTGATAGTTGTGAAATTAACTTGGTTATATATATAAATGCTACTATCGTGACGTTTGAATTTCTTTAGCAACCGTTTAGTTGGTAGAGGGGGGGGGGACCATTTGACTCTATCGAAAATTGGTGCTTTGAAGCTTAATACGATACGAATGGTTAACTAAATCGAATTAAATATTTTTCAAACAATTATCCAATTTTACTCCACGGTATGGGAAGATTTTTTTTCATCCCCATTTTACATGTAGGGGAGGTTATCCGCTCTTTCTTGTTTCTTACCTATGATCTATATCAGTTATACGACGTCCTCACGGTCCGCTAATTATTTATTTTACATTTCATCCTTATACACCACTCTAAGCAGACTTATAATGCAACTGCAAATGTCCTAGGTCGCCGGTTTACTGATAGGGTATATGGTTATTGTTTATCATGGTAGAATAAAATGTTTCCAATTATGTTTTGTAGGTACTCACTTTTGCATATAAACTATAACTTGGTCGGCCATATGAAACATCTTTCGTTTCACGTAGTACACGTTAGCAACCACCCAGCCCGTAGACCAGAAAGGATAGAGAGTCAGAATGGCCTCAAAGAATATTTCGGCAGCCGCTGGATCATCGTCGTACAGTCTAGAAGCTTTCGAGAGTAAGCTGCACAAAGACCATTAGGTACCTACTATAAAACACATCTATGAAATACAAATTGATAAAATTCTTTCCAATTTATAGCAGAGTATTTAGTAAACTTCGAAAATTCGAAAGTAGGTATTTCTCAACCATGACTTGTAGGCGATAATTTAAACAGTAGTTTAATTGTTAAGGTGCGATTCGTTGGCTTGTGGCAGACGTCAGAAGGGTGGCAGCTATGTCGGACTGTCCGACATCAGTTGCCGTTATACACCGGAATCGGTCTCATACAAATTAACACTGCAAGGTAATGCCGTGCGACATATGCCGTCGCTACCTGTTGCTGCCGTCTGTCGTCTGCCAAGACACGTAAATTCGCACCGTTATAGATTGACTCTAATAATTATTATAGGTATTTAATTTTCGGTCTCGGGTAGCTCAATTGTTAGAGCAGTTGCCCAGATTGCTAAAGGTTAAGTGTTCGAGTCCTATTTCGGGGTAACTGGGGCTGGTGGACTTTTAGCATTTTGCAACAATATTTCAAATAGAGGAATACTTTATTAAATTCATAGATAGGCACATTAACTTAATCACTAATGCACCTACACATGTGAGTATATTGTGCGATAATGGTATGGTGCGATAGGTGCTACTAACGTAAGTCGATGCCTTGGGTCTAGGCTCAAGGATTTATTAATGCAGACTTGAGCCCAATCTTTGTCAATGTCCATCAAACAAGAGGATAATTCCCGCCATTCGTTTGCGCCGCGAGGTCTATCTGCGACAAGCTATAAGACAGCTGTTAACCTTATAATAATGTAAAAAAACTTCATATAAGTACTTCAGTTCCCTTTATAGTCAGCTAAAAGAAGATATAAGAAGATATAGATGACAACTTTTGCAAAAGCCTTTGAAGACTTTAGATATATGAGGACTGTTCAATATCTTACATGTTACCTGAAAATATAGATCGGCAGCGTGGGAAATGTCCTGCATTTGACGTGCGTGTCTCGCTGCTCGTAATATTGGATCAACATCTAATTGACTATTGGTGCCGAGGAGTGTGTTGCCAGCTATACGTGTCATACATGCATGTGACATCATCAACATTTCCTAGAATGTTCATTATCATCATTAGCCCTTTTAAGTGTCCTACTTCAATTGCAGCCGGAACCAACGGCTTAACGATTCGAACGACGGCGGCACGGAGTAGCTCGAGATAATAATTTTTTGGTCAATAATTCTCTAACCGACACTTGCGAAAGTTGCTTAGCGACAACGATTGCTGGCCGTGGTGCTTACCCACTACGCTACCGAGCTACTGTAGATGTATACTGGGTAAATAAATACTCGTAGAACAATGGACATTTAAGAATTATAAATTTTCATCCATTTCCTTAAATAACATTGAAACAAATCGATTGAGAAATTTTTATTTGATGTTTCTGATGGGTACCTCTTATACTTTGTAAGATTTTTATTTAATTTATCTACCAAAGAGATTCAGTTATATTAAGCACCGTGTTTTGGGTCACTAAAATACTATTTCTCAAATTCATTCGGTCCATTCGTTTCAGAGAAAATCGTCTGTAACAGACAATCAACCGAGTGATGCTAAATGGGTTTGGTTTTTTCTTTTTTTTAGTATATTAAGGAATCCTTAAAACTAGATTATACCAATTACCAATGATCAATTTTCTAAAGCTTAATTAAAGATACTAATTTAATATGCTTTTTTTTATAGCACTTTTTTCACTTTTAAGTATTTTTTCATTTATTCATGAGCTAATATACTTTCAAAAGTAAATCTGAAATACCTCATATGTAGAATCGGATTTCAAAAACTCTTGTACGATGAAGTTGTTATTAACATAAATAGCTGCGCTTAACCAACATGACGTCACTAGTTCTACACGTGTCCTAGTTTCGCTTAGTTGCCGATTAAACGAACAAAACTCTGTCATTCCTAGATAACAAAAAATATATATAAGACAACATCAGAAACATTGCTCAGGTCCAAAAGTCTAAATCTGATGAAACGTACAAAGTTACACTTCAATAGCGTTTCAATAAATAACATTTTCCCACTGCATCTTCTTCACGCCAAATATTAATAGTACGATGGCGTGTTGATGAATTAATGATGATAGACACAATTCTGATATAGTGAACTGTGTTGCTGAGAACTGTGTCAAAAAAGCTTGTATTGAAACTTCACTGACGCCTGACGCGCCATAATTACCTTAACATTGACAGGGGCGACCTGTCTATATAGGCAAACTTATCTACTGCCTAGGTGGGCATGGCATGGCAAACAGGTTATGTTTTCTCTAATTATTTGAACCTTAAAAATACAGCACCTTAAAAAAATAGACTTTTGTTGTTTGAACATGAGTTCCTGTTCGCGGTATTCAAAAATAGGTACACAATATTACTAAAGGAGGTTCTATTGTCTAAATTACATTCTTTAATTAGTATAGGGACGTTTAGTCTTTTATTTCGTTGTGATTTTTTATGACTGCCGTTCCAGTATTTTGCCAAGGTCGCCAAGTTTCATTGAGCACTTAACAGTATTGAAGCCCTGACTTGAGACAATATAGAAAAAAATAATTTTCTACATTGAGCTGACTGGCAAGTGGATACTAGAGCCATCGAAACCAGCGTGTGAACCACTCTGTCACTGAGATACTTAATCAAAATGAAGTCATGAAATAAAGATATTATGATAAAAACGAAACACATTTTTAGAATAATATACACCCAAGTGGAAAGTGACTGTTTTTCTATAATCATCTATTCGACGATTGATTATGAGAGATTATGTAAATTGCAATAATAATTGCCAACTGCATGGTAATCTCTCACGCGTGAACCTATAAATAGCTATCATAAGATGTCTATCTGTTACGCTTCAAAAGATAGAAGTGCAGGAGTCACTTATTATTACATATAGTCACTGCAAGAATTACGAACCTAAAGTGGCAATGGGCAGTGCGCATACCTCGAAGGACAAATGACTGATGGGGCAGTGAAGTCCACGAATGATGTTCACTGACCGGAAAACAGAGCACAGGCAGCTCTTCTACAAGAAGGACCGACTATTTGGTCGGGAAGCGTTGGAGCGTGCAGAACAACATGGAGATTTACAAGGGATGCCTTTGTTCGTCAGTGGGTGTTATCCAGTTGATATGATTATGATATCATGAACGTAATAACAGAAAAAGAAGAACAATCATCAGATCAGGCACCGATTTTGTATTAAACTAATGCTGATGGAAAATAAAAATGATGTTGTAACGAGTTACCATAGTGGGGGACTTTTCGCAAGGAGATTTCAGCAGCTCGCACTGTTTTCTGCCATTCTCTGTCGAGTTGGCCACGGCCAGTGCACTCTCTTTTGTTTCGTCCTTCTTCCATTTTCTCAAGCATCTCATTTATTTCTGAACTGAAATAATAACATTAAACAGGAAAAATAATAGTAAAGAAAATTATTTGGTCCCCCTTTTACTTAAATATGATATTACATTCATAATATCAACGCTTAAGAACCAAGACCATCTATCTACACTTTTGGTAATTTTCACTTTGTAATGCATTTCTTTTCATGGTTAATTTACACATCGTTTCCTTTAATCAATTACCTCAAATTCGCAATAAATAAGGAGTTATGAGAAAATACCAATACCACCTAAGTTACGTATCGTAATAATTGTATGGAAATATCACCTATCTACAGAGAACACGTAATTACTCGTTTTAAAATTAAATAAAACTAAGAGTCTATATTATTTCGTTTGCCAATACCATTTATATTACAGTTAGCTGCATAAACATACGCCAATATTTTAACTAATATCAGCTATCTACAGTAATTTTGAAACTAATTAAGATTTCTTGAAATACATGTCAACACCCTTCCCACGCCTATTCATTAAGTTCAGATATAAAAATAAAAAAAGTTGTTGTAGAAAAACATATGAAAGGTTTTCGTATCCTGTAAAATCGACTATTTATAGGCGGTCTTGGTTCTTAAGCGTCGATATATTAAAATCATATTTCAATGCAAACGCATTTTTCGATAATTTATCAGCATCATAAATTATCGAAAAATGCGTTTCTCTGGAGTCGTATTATTAGCATTTCGAAAATAGATGAAATGATTTCGTAGAAATAGAATAGCCTTCAGGTGTATTAATTTATACGAGTACTATTAAATAAAAGTGTTTACTTGGGAATGGTGGGCGGGAAAACGACTTTCTTCAAAGGTCTCGCTAGTTTAATTTCAATTACGATAAAAGCATTATTGTCATCGTTACCCGTGGATCTTAATACATTGCTCAAGTCTGTAGAACTTGTGATAGCTGAATTTGTTGGAAATCTGAGCACAGTAAGAGAGAAATTAGTACAATTAGTAAACTTAATAGTTATTATACGAACGGACAGAACGCGAGTAATCGTCACAGGGTTAAATTTTTTCTTTCTATGGCATTCTATCTATGCTTAGAGACACCCAAGTAAATGTTATACTTAATAATTTTGTAACTTCGACGCTTCTGTATTTGCCAATTATCTAGCTTAGAAAGTAAGAACACTTATTTAAGTGAAGCTGGGGAAAAATGGCTAATTTATTAATAAAATAATAAGATATTAATGTACTGTGTAATATTGGGAGTGAGTAGCAACTCGCAATTGCATTTGTCTTGCATCGTTTCAGCATTCACCCACTGTAGCGGCACCGCCATACGCGCTACGTGTTCTAAGAGAAACAATATACTTACTTAGAGTTTTTAATACTAAAATGCTTCTTATAATCATACATAATAGAACTACAAAAAAGAAAACGGTTCTAATCATAAATATTAGATGACAAGTTTTGGCTGTTTCCCTCCGACTTTTCCTGCGTAAATGTTAGCCTATGTCCAACGCGTATTAAGTAGCTTCCTAGTGGTTCCCATTGATAAGACTTAAAAATCGGTCCAATAGTTTCAAGAATATCCAATTCAAACAAATCTTTCCTCTTTTTGATTAGTATTATTGGAAAAAAATATGCCGAGCAAATAAACAAAATCTTCTTTTCTAAGTCTTTCACTGTGTTGAATATTTGATGTTTAATATATTTAGTGTAACCTATTATTAAAAAAAAAATCAATATCGCTTAAAAGCATGAAATAAAAACGTAAATAAAATTAGGACTTTAAACTTTAAAAAAATGATAAAAATGCTATTAAAAGTCGAGCGTCTCTCAATTAATAAATGACCCACAGAAGCCTCCATTGCCGCCCGCCCGACTTGAATTGCATTTTTTTAAATAAGTAGCTTTTAATTTTTTTAAGTCTCAAGTCGGTTCTATTTTTTTAATAAGTTTTCATTATAATAATGCTTATACTTCATAAAAGGACATGTTATAAGGGGACGTAAGGTTTTAAATTTATTGGGGTTAACCGACAGTTTCATATTGAACATTAATTAACTATATAAGTTTTATACAAAAAAAAAATAATTATGCAGTCAACCACGTATTGTAAAACGTTCTTTCACTGTTTTGCTCTTTTACTTTTAGTGTAGTTTTTATTTTTGTTATTAAGTATAAATGTATAATAGCTACTAATTTAGACTACTATGAACAATAAAAAAACCGAAATAAAGTTGGCCGTTCTCAAGTCATGTGCTTTAGATCGATCGACATTGATTTTTTTAATATGTCAAGAAAATAATTTTTTCTTACCTCCCGGGTAAAGCAATTGAAATAATTGCAAAAAGGTCATAAAGCTTAAACCGTTTTGATCTCCATAGAGGTGGACTTCCAATGGCCAGCAGTACCGCCGCAGATGCTCGGTTAGCCATTTTTCACCGTCTGATAGTAGCAGTGTACGGTGAAAAGAACCCCAAATTATTACATCTGAATATCGAAGTAGTTTAAATTAGTATTTTAAATTGACACATGTTGAGAAAGCTCCTAACAAAAAATAACTAAATTTGAATTGATTTTGAAGAAAAACGAAATACAAATAAGGTGTATAAAATGAGAAATTTGAAGACTAAGGTTTGGTACTAATCGCAACAAAACGTGTATGTAAAAAACATCCAATATAGCTCTGTCTATTTAACTTCTAGTAATTTTGTTAATTACTAAGGTTTGATAAATAAATGAGCCACCCTAGAAAACAGAAAAGGGATTTCAATTTGTTTGCAACGATCGGGATTGAGAACTTCCCAAATTTTGTCATGGTTTGCCAATAATTCATCAAAAATAATAAATAATAGTACTATTAAAAACATTAAATAACTTACTGCTGCTTTGACGTTTAGACATATAATAAGTTAGATCTATGTTATCGTCGTTTTGGATGTTGCTTTGGTCGCACACAAATTTCTCATCTCCTTTTGTGAATAAATTATCATTGCTCTCCAAATATTCCCATTTTGGATAAAAACGGAGAGGATCAAATCTATTTGGCATTCTACATCCGTGGTTAAAAGTAACAATTCCCGTATTCTAAGAACAATAGAATTTTTTTATGGAAAACCACTTAAGAAAATTTTTGAGTACTGTGTCTATTATGTATATTAGAAGTGGTAGATAATCCTACATCAATATATTGACACACATCACTCCAAATTTTTTAATTATTCCTATATACACAATTTTTATGAACTTTATTTAAATATAATTGATAAAGAAGAAGAATCTGTGGCAATAAACAGAAACTATATACGGTGAAAATCATGTCGAGTGCCCACATGTGTCAGGTGAAACTGTAGGTCCTGGCTGCATCCAATATGCTGATTTCGTTTCGAAGTAATTTTCTGTTAGAGCAATTCAATTGTGAAGCTGCCTGTCTGTTGATATGACACCCGCAATCATATTATCGTTTTTATTGAACCAATAAAAGAACATCTCCTCGTTCTCGTGTGTGTATTTTAAATATATCTGTTTATTATTGTTAAGTTACTGTGCAGTATACTTATTTAATTTTTTCCCCTATTTGTAATTATTATTCCGCAATTTCCTTCATTATATTTTCCGTTGTCTTAGGGTTGCTCGGTAGAGATTGTTACCTTAGCAATAAGACCGCATTTTGTGATAATGTTTCTAGTTATATGATCATATTTGAGAATGGTTAAGAGTGTAATAAAGTACCTATATTCATTCATTCATCCATAGTCGTTAGTATCCTCCACATCCACTTAAGTGAGTGGTTGATTATGGTTCGTTTTAACTGTGTTTTTCTTCACGAGGATTATACTTAAGGTTGTCACCAAGCAAAATATATATCTATCTACTATGTAAACTATTTTGGAACATAACCAGTCAACATAGTTATTCTTATCGACCTCCATAATGGCTTGCAACACATAATCATAATGAAGTTATAGTAAACATATTTGTTGTGATTAAGTCCAAGTTATAAATTATTACCGTTTCATTATGCAAAGTAGTTTTTGTTGCCGCGGTAATAGCATATTCGTCTTCACTTGTGATAGGCATATTGTAAGCGCCCAGTAGAGTGATTTGCATATAGTTTGCCCGTTTCAGAAGATCATGGTGTTGTGTGTTCAGCTCGTTGCGAAACATAGTCAACTCCAATGTCAGTAACGGAAGATTGTCCCAGCTTTGACGCTGCAGCAATGGTGGATTGATCATTGGCTCCATTCTTTTTTTTACTTTTATTTTGGTTCGATCTAAAAGTTAGAAATATCAAATTAATATCACGAACAATACCTTTATTAAAATATTATGGAAAATCTGAAACAACTAAAGTGCCAAAACAAACATCCAGATTTGCGGCTCTAGGTCCCAATCCTGAATATCGTACCCAGAAGACCTCAGAGATGGCTACAATTTTAAGCAGGCATGCGAGCTACATGCTCACGGAGGTGGTTAGTTTACATTAGTATTTAAAATTAAGGTCACAAAATTGTTTACCTATGAATAATGGAAGTATATCAATATTACAGCAACTGATGTCCGGTATCGGTTTCATAGAGGAGCTGGATTCGTTGGATTTTTTCGACGAAATCATCTCATAGCTCGTCACGCTTGATTGACTTGTTATAGGCTCTATGTTAACTGAAAGGATTTTGTTTGAATATTTAGCTTAGATTTATTTAGTAATAATATCTATTTGTATTTGTAAAATGTTGTAAATGTTGGTAAAATAATTGACTAATTTAAAATAAAGCATTTCAACTGTCTGATACTCGAGATGGAGTGGTACGGAGATGGTTATCAGATAAAATAATTTTGACTCATATTTGCCTATATTTTAATAGATAATCTGTCACGTAAAAATTGTCGGTCTCAGCGGTATGATTCTGTTTGTTTTAAAACGTCGAGTCGAGAGAGAAACAACAAAAAAATCCTCGAAGTGGTCCATCACCGAGTTCAGCTGATGACATTCAAAGACAGGTAGGCCGTAACTAGATATTGACGGCACAGATAATATTTAATACCTAATATTTCCTTACCAATTAAAGGACAATCAGCCATGAGGCACATTTTCTCATAATCAGAAGGATCAACATTCATGCTCCCTTCAGCTAGTGTCCTATCCTTGATAGTTTCTCGCATCCCTACTGGCTTGACAACGCCAGTGAGTAATAGTTGCTCGAAAAACACTACTTTTATAGAGTACCCATGAGGATTTTCGTCAGTGGATTGCAGTTTTAACACTTTTACTGTTAAGACGTCTAAAGGTGGTACGTATATCTCTTCTATCACTTGCAAATTAGATTTGGAAGCTGCCAATGAAGCCTGAGACCGACTCTGAAAATGGGATCACATATTTTTGATCTTACATCAATATTCTTATTAAAACGAAACGATCTCTCTTTGATTATAAACTTGTCTATCTCTATAACAAATATTGATAAAAATATAATTCCGTCACCTTTGATTTCTTCATATTTTTTCGAAGATGTATTAGAAGTCTTTTATCGGAGTATACGTGAAAAACTGTAGTTTATTATATTAACGAATGTTTACATATATTTTTTGTAATAAAAAAAGAATCAAATTCATATCTCTATCCTTTCGCTATCATAGATCTTTGAGTAGTATACAAAGAGTAAAAGTATATATTAGGTAGTGTATATTTACTCTTTTCTTTTTGTTAAATCAAATTTATTTTTATTCTAAGATTGTCAAGCAAAAATAATTAAACTTGTCGGTGAACTGGTGAAGCTAATATTTTTATTGTCTATGCAAGTCATATATGCTGCACATACGTAACCTTCTTGATACAAATTGTAAAATTATGATCTAGTTGAATTTACTTTCATTTCATCGTTTCATTTTATATAGAAAAGTAAAAAACCTCAATGTAATTATAAACTCTCTATATAAGATAAAACTTAATATTTGTTTTAGTTTATTTGTAATTGCTGCCCAAAGTAACTATACCACGCGGATGAAGTCGCCGGCAAAAGCTAGAATATTTTAAAAATAAGCATAGCCTAGTTTTATATTTCACTTCTTGGTTCCTTTTTTGTAGTACAATTTTAGTGACTGAATCATTCTCTTTCTAAATAGTTCATTAGGATTGATTAATTAATTAATGTCAACTCGGGATAGCTGTCCTAAGACCAACCTAAGATTCTCTTCTGTCCTCATCATCAAAATAACCTGACATACACATGGGTATTAGTATTTCAACACTAATACTAATCGAAAACGTAATCTAACTCTGACTTTCAACTATATATATAAAAAAAACAATTAAAGTTATAACAATGTTTTTATTAGGTTCCCATAACTTTTTTTAACATATTTGCTCAAGATTTTTTTAATTTGCTTAACAGATTTACAGTCTTATGCTCTGATTTACACATATTTTTATACATAGGTACTTAATGTTCTTAAATAAACCATGAAAAAATAAATTAAAGTATAAATGTAACAATGTACCATACGACATATCACACTGTGTTACAATATTTTACTTATTTGTATGCAAAATCTTTGTTTTGGTACGTCACTGTTTCATTATGGTCATGTTATTCTTTATGTCATGATCTGAGCTATGGACTTTTGTGCAAGTGACGGTAAAAGTCTTAAAACTTTTTGGACCATTTTTTAAATTATTCCTAAACTCATTCATGATAGATTATAAAATGTCAATTTAAGCATGATATAATTTAGTCCAGCACCATCTATTGACAAAACGAATGAAACAATGTCGCTCCGTATTGTTTTATTGAGAAATGTTTCGATAGAATCTATCACGAAAGTTCACCCAAGATGCGAAAGTTTTCTACATACATAGTTTCTTGACCCGCTTTTAATATAAGCAATATTTTTAGATACCTTTTATGAGATCGATTTTTCATGTTTGAAGTTTCTGTACAGGGTGTGCTTTCTTATCGGGTACTGCATATGTCTTAGAATAGTAATATAATGTAGACATAGCGATAGCTATAAGAAAATTTTGTTGACTTTAAAAATACATATATTAATATTATTTAAGAACTGCATGCTTTGTTTATTTTGGCCAAACTTTATTTTGGTTTATTTCAGAAAAATCAATATATTTTGTTTACCAAAATTCGACTCAATTTGGTCATATTTTAACTACTAAATCAAACTAAAACATATCTTAAAAAAGGAATATAAATATAGTAATCGTTCTTATAGTTATCGCTATGGCTAGCTATTAGTTTAGGCCCAGGCTTAAAAATTTTGGTAAGTACATATACTTGAAGTTATTTTTTAGTCTGAGATTTGTTATTCTAATATTGGGTGGGCATCACAAATATTCTTTTATTGATACTTTATGTATCTTTTAAGAATTTTTCATCGCTAGAACACAACCTTAGCTAAAATAAACTTTTTACTTAAAATAATTTATGAAATACTAACACTCACAGTCAGTTGCACAAACGTCCATTAAGGTTAATGACGCCTTGAAGTTGTAATGAATGTCAAAATTGTATGAGTAATGTCATTTTAAACTAATGAAAATTTTAATTCATGGATGTTTGTGCAACTGTCTATTGTACAAATTTTCAAATTAGGAGCATTCAAGAGACCCTAATGTTGTCATTAAACCTTTATGGACGTTTGTGCAACTTATCGTTACTCTAATAATCTACAATAAATATAACACTTAATCCAACACATATGAATGTAAAATCAACACACGTGTTCATGTGTGTTGATTTTACTTTTTATATTAAAAAAGGCTTTACAATAAGGCAAACGCCATAAACTACTAATAAATAGTGTAAGGTGTTTGCCTAGTTTAAAGCCTTATTCTTTAGATAATTACACTGGTCTACAAATGTTTATCTTGTTTTTTTGCCTTTAAAATAAATGCTTTGTTATTTTAGTAATTTGGGGTCACTAAATACGAAAATGCAAACCAAATTTTAAAGTTAGCTCTTATTTTAAAAATACTGCCGGTATCAATATATGTATATGAATTAAGAGTAAACCTTCATGTATTAAAAAAAAAATATATTCATTATTTTTTAATAAACTTTTTTTATTCTAGAATTTCTCTTTATTTTTTCGTTTATCTTTCGTAAGGAGTGTCTTTAATCAAGTCAGTTTCAGGAGTATCTCTAATCAAGTTCGAGCAGTATTCCTCTAGCATTGACGCTTCAAATATTTCTGATGATTTCTGTATAAAGAAACCAATTTTAACACCAGGTTGTAGTAAATCGATTGTTTAAGTCTAGATTCCAGTAATTCTGCTTTAACATTTGGCAAATTTAAGTCTCTTACTGAGTTCATCTTGCGAAAGTCTATGAGGTTCGTTACAAACAATATTTTCTTCCGAAAACTCTTAAACTTGCGAAGTTGAAGGATGGTTATAATCGACTCCCAACAAAGTAATTTCTTCATTGGTATCATACTAGCAACCTTGGGAAGGTTGAGGAACTGGCAAATCGGTTCCGTGTGGGTATACTAGACTACGCTTCTTTTTTCTTGATATACCGTGCTGGATAGGAGGTATCAAGCAAAAATAACAATCATTGATATGATTAGTAGTTTCCCTTATCATTGGAACACCAAAAGACAAAAAAAGATTCCTCTTGTTAAGACATTTGAATAAATTAGTAGAACAAGCACTGCAACTAAAATGTTGTACTCGAGATTTATCCTGATTTTTAATTGTAATTCCAATATAATTAAAGTAAGCACTACTTTACTTATTCACGTATGTAGCTAAAATTTTCTGCATTAAATATGTAAATACATAGTTACGTGATATAAAAATTTATATTGTAGTCTTTGGACCAGAAACTAGTCGAAATTATAAAGAAACTATTAATATTTCGCGTAGTGATTTATTTTTAACTAGCAAATAAAACATACGTAACTATGTATTTACATATTTAATGCAGACAATTTTAGCTGCATATGTGGTAACGTGAATAAGTAAAGTAGTGCTTACTTAAATTACATTAAACGAAAGTGTAATAACAAAATTTACGAGGGTACCCTCACTAAATTATTTGACATCTCATAATATAGTGACATCTACGAAGTTATTCGGTAATATCTTAAATATGGCATAAATTAATAATAAGAGCTAACTATTAATTTTTAATTCTACATTCAGATTAAAGGGTGAAATACTAAAGATATAGTGCAGTTTTTCAAGTAATGGACAATTTTTATATTGACCAGTGTTATTGTTAATACTATTCACTTAAACGTTCTCAAATTAATAATAATATAAATAAATGTAATATCAATTCTATTCCTTTCGCTTTATTTTTGACCAAAATGTACATACTATTGTAATTAAAAATTACGTAATAAGTACTATTTTATCTTCAAAAGAAATGCTTAATAAATTCACCAGTCTCATGTGCATGACATGAGTTCTAAGTCATAACATTTCGCAATTCGGGCGACTGCTCTACCCACATAGCTACCCGAGACTTTGGTGAAATAGACGAAGCATTTTATACTTTCGCTGCTAAAACTTAATCAATAAAACTTGAGTGAGCGTATTCTGACTACTGTTCAAGAATTTGATCAAATGTAAGTACAATTTTGGTACAAAAATTTTTAAAATAAAATGTAAACGATGTCTCCTTTCCTCTCTTGCAAAATGATTTTTCAGGGATCACGACAATAAATTTATTGTTTTTCAGATGTACACGTCTCCAGCAGGTCTAAGTTTGAGTTATTTTTAAGGTCCAAAAGATGTCACAAATAAGAACGAGAAAAATGCTCTAAATCTATAGATGAATATATTAAGAATACTTATAGCGGTATCAGCGGAAAATATAATAGCCATTTTTTATTACAAAATGCTGAAATAAACATCACGTTAAAGTGGACTTTACAGATAGATAAAAGTATTTTAAAGTCGAACAAAATCCAATACAAACTTAATCTATAATTTAATAAAATTATATATCACTACAAGCACCAAACATACCGCTACAAAACGACTGTGATTTATTTATTCATTCAAAATTTTAATAATATCAAATCAAAACACCATCTATATCACAAAATAATAACGTAACTGACAACTTCTGAGCTCTATAAATAGAGACGAAATACCCAGCTGCGTTTTTATTTACTTATATTTTATTCCAGAAACACTATTCTTTGTCCACGATTTACTTCGTACCAAATACCACTATAAGTTTGTAGTTGGACCTAACACTGGCTGGTTTGTTGTTGTTTACCTCGTCTATAAGATTCATATTGCGTACCACATCTAAGTAGTCTGTAATGAAATCGTCGAACACCTCTTTGGTCATGCTGAATGGAATGACAGCTTGTACGGCTTCTGAAAATACCACCAAGAAAATACCTTTAAGAAAGTTTTAGATATTTCCATCTGCTTCTAATGTAATAAGTCATCAGAATTATAACTTGTAAATTATTTGCTACAAATCTTACAAATGGAAAGCTTATATTAAAAAATAATTAAAATATGTCAGTAATTAAATATTTTGGGATGTACCGTCTAAAACACTGTAAAAACAATATTATTATTTTACTATATTATTTTTATTCTTTTTTAGGGTTCCATAAACCATAGGTTGAAACGGGAACCCTATTACTAAGACTTCGCTATCTGTCTGTTACCAGGTTGTATCTCATGAAACGTGAGAGTTAGACAGTTGAGAATTTCATTCATGATGTATTTCTGTTTCGGCTATAACAACAAATACTAAAAAAACAAAATAAAATAAACATTTAATGGGGCTCCCATACAACAAACGTGAGTTTTTGCTCTCGTTTTCGGTACAGAAGTCTTCGTGCGCGAGTCCGACTCGCACTTCACTGGCTTTTTATTCCACCTTTAACAACAAAAAGCATATAATGATAACTTACTTTTGAGAGCTTCAGGACTGTTGTACACAAAAGACTTCTCTTCACAAGTGACGATCATATCAGTGAAACCGATTCTCTTCATTAATTTTGTTATTTCTTCCTCGGGATTCTGAAAATATTATTACGATCTTATAGATTAGTTTTATAAGTATAAGCTTTTTTAAAGTAGCTTAGGATAAGAAAAACAACAGAGTTCTCTGAAATTCAGTAATATATTCAATAATACATTTTAAGCTTTTTGGTGGGTAAAAAAACTTGGATATAAATGTTGCCTATTATACGCGTTTGGCCATAAGAAAAAGAAATTCCTCGTAGTCAAATTAGCTAGACATAATAACTTGGTCACTTTTTAGTTTTTAAGGTAAATTAATTAGCGTTCCTTATGCAAATTGAGATTACAGCCATAATAGGACTCCTATCACCACTTCTTTTTTCTCACTCACTCTCACTGCATTTTGAATGCTATTACTTCTCTTCATAATTGCTCAGTTACACTGGTCGATGACATCTGCATTTATGTTCCTCGCTTTCATTGGCCGGTAATTATTTAGCTGGCCAATGAGATGAGCGAGTACTCGCTCCATCGACCAGTGTGATTGATTGAGCCATAACATTTTCTTTTTTTAATTAAGATATTCATTATTAAAACAATAGCAGCTTTAGTTACCTGCGAGTCGTGGTAAGGGGAGATGAACTTCTCAACGTCTTCTAACCAACAACTCCATTTGTTGCTCTTAGCCAGGATACGATACACGTCGAACATTGGGTTGTGTCCTAGGAACGTCAGTAGGCATTGCCCCCCCTTCTCAAGTAGATCGAAGATATTGCAAAAAGCTGTCCTAGAAAGACATTACGTTCACAATATTAATATCTTTATCAGCTTATTATTGTTTGTACTAGCAAGTTAAAAACGTGGCAACTAGCACTAGCTAAAACCATTCGGGCGAGTTAAGGGTCATTCTGTAAAATTATTCAGCATTGAATTCGACTTAGCACAGTGCTGTTATAATACAAATGTTCAAACAAAAAAAAAGCTGTCAAAATCGAACTAAAAACTAAAAATAGTAGTCATGACTTGGTTAAAAAAAATCTCTTTGTAGTCGGGGGACTCGATTGCAATGGGATTTTGTATTGCCAATTCACAATAGCTGATTCTAAACTTTCAGTACTCAAATTCTCTTATATTGTACGTGGTGTTGCGTGTTTGCAACAATAAAGACAGCGGCTTACTGTCAAGTGTATCTGATATGAATTAAGACGAAATAAGGGAGACCTGCTTCGAACCGCCTTCAAAGCCTCTCATATACCCGTATTGTAGCTATAAGATAATTGAAAAGATATTTTATAAGATATTCTAAGTCAAATTTAAAAAATTATTTCGAAAACTAAACAAAACAAAATTATTATCGTGCCTCTATATTGCTATATTTTTTATGATTTGATTACAAATGTAAATTTTACAGATTTTTCCTTAAACATGTATTATAAAACGAGGCTACTCGCTAAATTTCGTAGTCCTAGGGCAACTGGAAATATCACATTAATTTTGATTTCCTCGAGAGCGCCGAAATATGCGTTTTGTTGGGGCTTAAACGGCTTTATCTTTATTTAAATTAGTTTTATTTCTTTCACAGTTTCAGAACATTCTGGAGCTGCGATTATGTTTTTAATTTCAAAGCTTTATGCGTTTCTGAAATGTAAGATCTTGATCCACAGATGTACAACAAACCGATCCTATAAGGATTGCTTATTTTTTATTTTGAGGTACGGTACCTTAAAAATTTCACAAGCTATTGCTGCAACTTTTGAAAAGAAAAATATTTTTAATGCCATCACGTCATATTATGTGTTTATGTCATATCTTTATAATGAACTTTAGTTTCAATTTCTTTTGTAAATTAACGTATCGGCATCATGTGTTTACATGATGATATGATGAATTTTAAATTATTTTTCATTCTAACTACCTACTCGTTCAAGAAACGTAATTAAATTATGTAGGTTCGGAGTTATTTTACAGCTTGTGGATCAAACTATATTATTAAAATCAATGGTTCATAATTAGTACCAAGACTATATATTGCTATGATTTGATTTCTTACATTTTGTTGTTTTTATTTTCGACTAAATTTAGATAGGTAGTATTTATAAGATGGTCATATCATAATCTTATTTGGCTTTTACTATTTAGATAATATAAGAAATATGTATATAATGTAATTTGTAAGTTAGTTTTATTCATCGAAGTTTTGGTTTATATTTATACACGGGATCTCTAATTAAATCGGTTTGAAACGTAATATAGCGTTGGAAGTCAACTTTTGTGTGATTCTTAAACTTGGTTTAGTTAATTACCATATGCAACAGATTACAACGTATTATTTATTTAATAAAAAATATTAAATTAGTTATTAGTAAAATTAACATATGTAATTGTTCATTTTAATAAATACTTACTCTTGATCTTTGATCCAGTGAAATGCGTAGAAAGAAAAAACGTGATCGAAATTGTAACACATTTCTTCTGGTACTTTTCGTGCGATGTCCAATACGGAGAAAGAAGTCCGTTCGTCCTTGTGGTGAACATTCGCGAATGTCACCATCTTCTCGCTGACGTCACAGCCTAGAAGAACCTTGAAGTTTTTGGGGATGTACTCTTTCAACAAGTTCACTGTTACACTGCCTTCTGCGCAACCGATGTCTATGATTCTATCACCAGTCCTATTCCATTTAAGTTTTTTTGCGTATTCTTCTAAGCACTCGAGAGTGTCTCTTTTCTGCAAGTCGTTATTGCATTCATATAATTCGGCGTTATTCATTTTTTTTAATAAGTTTTTTAATTTAAGTTTGTTTTTTTTTCGGAGGCCGCGCGCTAGGTTGCCGAGCTGGGCGCACTTTCGAGGAACAATCCCGTCTGGAGCTCTTGGCGTATGAATTTATAGTGATGTCGCCGGGTGACCAACGCAGTGGCAAATTCGGCAGGAGTTAAGGGTCTCGTTGGTGGGCCCAGCATTGTCTGAAAACATATTAAAAAGTTGACCAAATTTTTTGAAGTATTAGAAAAGAAATAAATAGGAAAAAAAAGCGATGTTTACATAATTCAATTTTTTCTTTAGCATTTGTTTTAAAGTTTTAATACCTGTATTGATTATATATTGTTTAAAGTAAAACAACGGCTTCTTTAATTATTTGTTTTAATAAGACAAAAGCCAGAAAAGTTATTTGACGTAAAAGGAACTGAAAAAATATAAAAATAGTAGTCTAGAGTTTACTAATACTTTTATTCTAGTAATAATTAGTAAAAGGTTCATTCATGTTTCTTACTCTAATTTAGTTTAATTTTTCACCCTTTAGATACGATATTGTGAGATTCTTTTTAACCGTCTTTAAAAAAGGAGATTATCAATTTTAGGTGTATGTATGTAATTTCGTTGGAATGGCGTAATATTCATATATTATGTTGATCTGTATGCTCTTCTAAACTCGTGTGCAAAATTTTATGGATGTTTTTAAATTGTACGTTTGTCCACGGATGTCTCACGAACTAGACGTCGGATTGCAATGATTCTTTTTTTGCTTAATGACTTAACTTTTAACTTGTACTACAAATTAATCAAAATTTGTCGTGTACCTAAGTTGTTCAGTAATTTTTTAAGATATAAACTATATGAATTTAGGCTGCTAAAAAGGAGTAAACAATTAGTCGAATTATAAAATTGATAACCATTTTTTAAACCAACTTCAAGAAAAGGAGGTCAGTGTTACTTCGTATGTACGTCATTAACCGACTTCAAAAAAAGAGGCTCTCAATGTGACCTATACGTTTGTAACCGATCTTAAATGAGATTATCAATTTAACCTGTATGCATGTAATTTTATATGGCACAGTATTCATATTTGTTAGTCTATATGTGTTTCTAAATATGTGTGCTACATTTTCTAGGAGTATATTTTGTATGTGTGTCTATATATTTGACTTAGTATTTCTCGTACATAAGATATTCGATTGAAATGATACTTTTTTGTTTGATTAGGTTAAGTTAGAACTGCTACCATTACAGAAAATGTAAATATAAGTATGTTTAAATACAGACGAACAGGTGTCCATTTATTATAAGTTAGAAGTAAGTAATATGGATCGGTGGAAAGAGAAACGACTGAAAAGAGAGAAATAATACCACAAATTTAAATTTTCAATAAATTGAAACAAAAAGTGGGTACACTAACAGATTTTTTTGGTCGGTGCCATTTATTTATAGATTATCATGTGCGGTGAGCTTAGCTCGGTGGCGTAGTGGATAAGCGCCGCGGCCTGCGATCGTAGTCGTAAAGCAACTTTCGCAAGGGTCGGTCACGGGATGGGTGACCAAAAAAAAATAAAAATATTATCTCGAGCTACTCCGTGCTTGGAAGGCACGTTAAGCCGTTGGTCCCGGGTGCATTTGCAGTCGTTAATACCCTCCAATCCGCATTCGGCCCGCGTGGAGGGTCATGGCCCATTCTCCTTAACCATCCATAAGGTAGGCCTGAGCCCCTGCAGTGGGGACGTAAAAGGGCTGGTGCTGATGATGATGATGATGTGTGGTGAGAGAAAAATAAATTTTCTGATAGTGCTGTTTTACTTCTTACCAATGACACGACTGGCACCGACCTCAAAAACATTATCTATTTAATCTAACCTGGGTTTTCTGGTAATCTATAGATATAGAACCAGATATAGAACGTATTTTTAAACTATTTATATCTCAAAGTTTGCTATATTTTTTATTTTATAATTATCTTATAAAAGACCGCCCTGTTTTAAATTCATATATATAACTTTGGGTCACCGACTTACATATGTGTACGAAATTTCAATTACATCGGACCCGCTGGTCCAATGTATGTACAATACGGAGAGCGCAGTAGAGTCGTTGCTCTACTGCGCTCTCCGTTTGTATTTCGGTTGAAAAACATCAAATAATACTTGAATGATCTGTTAGGTTGAAAGAATAACTGTTAGTCCGATTGATCAATAAGGACTTCAGTTATTTTATTTGTTTAATACTTAATTCTCAAATGTCCAAAAAAGGACCTCATCCCTTGGGCAATCTACGCCAGTCAATCTTTCGGTGATGTGAAGATACTTTTAAGGCCAGACAGACAGAAAACAGAGAGATCCCTTAAAAGTTCACATTTTAATACTTTATAAATAATACAATAATGTGTGCAAAAATATTTGAAAATGCAAAGATACCCCCAAGGAGACGTTCCATTATAAAACTGAAACTACGGACATTTAAGGCGTAAGGGATATTTATCAAACATTATGTAAATCAGTAAACTAATTATATATAATTATTTGATGTAGTTACAAAACAAAACACAAGATCTTAGTATTGCCTATAAAAACCAGTAAGCCACAAAAACCGGTGAGTATGTATGAAAAGAGTAATAAAAGTGGATGAGGTAAATCTTTTGTATTTAAGATCGCACTTTGTAGAGTTCGGTCCCCTCTGCCTACCCCGTAAGGGATAGGGCGTATGGATACACTATCAGAAATCTTGTATAGACAAATCAAGTGAGCCGAAAGACGTCGGGGTTGCGTTACTTAATTACTAAATTCCCATGGCCACCTTCTGTTATCAGATCAGTTTCATTGGTAAGTGGGTCAAATTAATTAAATAATTTTTATATAGGTACTACTCGTACGAATGACCATGACACCTCAGCGCTTATCCTTTTTTTTATTTGTAGTTTTTGTATTTGGTGTTTACAATAAAGTCTATCTATCTATCTATTCTTCCTCGAGTGAAAATTCGGAAAATTTCGAAGTGTGAGTTCCTTACCTCTGATGGATCATAAATTATAGAAAAATGCGTTTATTTGTAAATATTTCGAAAATAGACTATTTAGTTTTCTAAGAAATAGAATAGGCCTTCATGTGTCATTTTTAATCGTAGAAGTTATAATGCCCTACACTAATGAACTAACTTACAGGGCAAGTTAAATGAAAGCTTTTTTATTACTAGGGGGTTCACCCTTGGTCTCTATCCAAATAGCGCTAATTATATAATGTTTCGAATTATTTACATAAGTATTAACGAAAATTTAGGAGTTAGGAGCTCGATGGCGCAGTTGTTTGAGCTCTCGGTCGACCATACGGTTGTTAAGCAACTTTCACGAGGGCCTGTTATAGGATGGGTGAATAAAAATATTATATCGTGTTCCTTTGTGCTTATGTTACTGATATTTTCCCCATTCAATGATTCGATTCCATACATACGGCCGGTTTCTGAATAGAGAAAAGTTCAAGATCTCAACTGATGTTTCTCAATTACTTAAGTGTTTTACGTTTTAAATGGCAAAAGGCCTAGTCAATTTCTTATCAAACTGTTATCAAATTACCACTAAAAATTGAAATCAGAAACGAAAACTTGTTTAAATGACATTTGAAATGGCTTAAATACGGTTTGAGATATGCTTAATTTTAAATTCTCAATTCAGAAACCGGGTGATAGAGAAAGCTCTTAAAGGATATTAAACGGCTGTTGATCATGATGATTAATGCAAGTTTTTAAAAATATTACTAAATAATAATAAATACAAAATGATTATATTTATTATTATTAAAAAAAAAACAGTAAAATTATCCGTGTTTTGTGTAGGTGTACACATAATCGTTTTTATTATCATGACAATGCATTGCGGAAGTTGTTTTGTCAATTCAATATTTTCCTTACGAATTAATATGGCGTAACAATGTTGAAGATGATGTGTAAGAGCTAGTCTTAACCTAGATCAAGATCAAACAACGAGGTTTTATTTTCGATATGTTTGTATACTTTTTTGTGTGTCTATGTTGCTAAATTCTTCATTCGAGATATTATGGGCCTGAATTGATCGCATAACTTTTATTCGATATAAACTGAACATCAGTTTTATTTTTATATCATAGTAACTGGAAGCATTTTTCTAAATAACAAAGAAATACTGATAATAGTATATAATGATATTTATAAAATATTTTCCTATGATTCTTTGTTATATTAACATCAAATTTTTATATATCATTGAAATATATATGTTTTTAAATAAAACCCACTTAAATTTAATAGTAATAATAAAAACAATAATAAACAAACCTTAGTACAAAAATTTAATAGTATAATGAAACGAAATACCTGTCTAGAATTTAACGGCTAGAGAGTTAGGCGTTCGCAATCCTGACATATTTTTTAACAACTTCATTTTCAACAGGACTTATATTACGTTTTCCTTAATAAAATAATTAATCTTGGTTTTTAAATCCAACTCAAATTCCTTAATATCTGTAATATCAACATTATTATAGATGCACGTGTAAAAAAATCAAAATTACGTTTATTCAGTGTAGGCTGTTACAAACACTTGAGAAAATCGAATTCTTTGCCATCAGTTCGCAAATCTACGACGGGAGTCATTACCGAGAAGAATCGACTTGAAACTCGGCAAAGACCTCTTTTTTTACCGAGAAGACAAATTGGAAAATGACTTAATTACACTATGAAGTTGCGATTCGTAACTTTCTAATGCGATATTAATTGTTTAAAAAAAGAAATAGAATCGACTACAAACTAAAAAAAAATATTTTTTTTTTTGAAATACTGATGTAGGGCGGTTATTATTTAAGAACTTTTAAATCTCCGGCCGACAGGAAGGAGGAAGATTGGAGAAGAAGAGAGAAGATTGGAGGAGGAGGAGGAGAAAGGAGATTTTGTTTATTTGCTCTACGTATTTTTTTTTAAATACTTATCTATACTAATATCATAAAGACTTGATTTGATTTGAATACTTATCT